CTTGGAGGGCGCCCCCTTCCGGTCGATCTCAGCAAAGAAGGTCGTTGGGACTCTAGCACGGGCACCGCTGCACGTGTGGAAGCAGGCTCCGCGAAACACGCTTTCATGGCAGAGGCGTTAAACCGGAGCCTTCCCTCCAGAACCGTTTAATCGGTGGAGACGCTTCTTCCCAGAATTTAAAACAAGATACAGGTTCAGTTTTGCGACAAAGCCTTTAAAAAAAATACTTCGAATTTGGCAACGCCGAACCGAGCTCCTTTCGCCGGAGAGTCGCAGGCTTCGTCTCCGGGGGCCACTTCCCGTTCCCTGGTTGATCCAGCGGTAGATTCTCTTCCATTGAATGAGGATAGTGGCGGTTCCAAGACTCAGAAACGTTTCAAGAAGAAAGGCTGGTTGGCAGGAGAGTCATAGGGCTGATTTGCGAGGCCGACTTCCGGTTCTCCGGTTGACCTAGAGGCCAAAGAAACGCCTTTAGAAATCAAAGAGTCTGAGGGTTCGAGTCTCTAATGGTCTACATTTTAAAATGGGGAGAGGTATGATGCAAGAGAGACATAGGGCAGAATTTCGACGATGACTTCCGGTCCCTGAGTTGGCCTAGAGGTCAGAGGTTCCTCCACAGAGGTCCGGACTCCATGGGTTCGAGGCCGCGGAGGTCTGCCTTTTAAATTTACGCAGACTCTGGGACAGAAGAAACATAAGGTGGATATCCAAACGTCACTTCCGGTTCTCAGGGTAGCCTAGAGGTAAACTTAATGACTTAGAAGCCCTGAGTCCCAAGGGTTCGAATCCCCTCCGCTCCTTTTCTCGCCTTTGGCCTATACGGGCAGAGAGGTCAAATATACCAAAATCTGCGTTCGGAGCCAAGAGGCGGCGGTGGCTCAGTGGGTTCGGCGCCTGCAAAGGCAACAGGTTCTTCGGGTTCAGCGAGTTCGAATCCCCGCTGGGTGCCTAAGGAAAAAAATGTTTTTTATTTTTTTTCCGGGGCCCGGCCGCCATTTTGCAAAATGTGGTTCTCTTTTCTGGGCCCGGGTCCTCCTGCCTGCGCTACCTACGAGTGAGTTGCCTAGCCCTGACTGACGGTCCTGCCAAGGGGGGCCAGTGAGGACTGTGCAACTTGCCCAAGGTTGCACAGGCGGCAGGACCCAAGCCCAGAAACAAAGAACCAGCGACACGCAGCAGGTCAGGCTCACCGGCAGGGATTCGAACTAGCGGTCGACCAGGACCGCAAAATCACATTACCAAGCGCTTTCCCCGCTGAGCCATCTCAGCCACTGGGCGTGGCCCCTGCTCCTGGTATATTTGAGACGCCGAACTCCGGCTCAATGGTCAAAAAAAAAAAGAAAAAAAAAGTGACGTAACAAGGCTTAAAGGGGAAGGACCCGGGGGGTTGCCTCTCCGGCTCTCCCACAACGAGCCCCCCCCACTAAATCGGACTCCCACTGGAACAAGGGAGTTATTGTCTCCCTCAACTGGAAATTTATATTGATGTATGCAGACTAGCACACTGTGTTGTAATAGCCTGCACTAAGTGCTGTGTGAAGGATGCTCAGGTGTCACTGTACAGCTCTTCCCACACCCACACCCATGAACGGTTACTGGAAATGCTCTTGGTTAGAGCTCTAACTGGAAATTTTGAAGTCCTACTCTTGGGTAGCTTATGAATGAATCCACCATGCATAACAGCAATCTTCTTTGAGACCAATCCTGCTGATACTAGGGAGACACTTTTATAGCACGGAAGTTGTGGGTTGCAAGGGGACTATATTAAGGGTGGGGATCAATTTTAGGTGGGGCATGTTTCTCTCATTTCACCAGCATTAGATGTACGTGAAGTTTGTGGACCACCTATGAAAGCAGAGGGGTACAGCTTTGTGGCTTTCTCATGTTTATAATACCAACTAGAGAGCATTGATTACTTTTAAAGTATTTTGAGAACATAGAGCCATCAATGAACCTATACACTGATGTCATTGTTGAAAGTTGAAGTGCAGGTCCACATGGTCATTAATTTTCCATGCCATTTCTTCAGCGTTGCTGTGCTGACATTACATTCCCTCCCCATGGCTGTCCGGAGGCTGCCGCCGTTTCTTGGCCGCGAGTTGGGGGGAGGACCCTAGCCCCCCCCCACGCTCCCCGCTTTCATGCCGGGAAGAAGAGGGCCACAAACTGGGCCGTCTTCTAGGTGTCACAAGACAGTGCGCTGAAAGGCAAAGGCAGCGTGTTTGCGGGTGCGGCGTGCAGGCCTTCTTCGCCTTGCCTTGCCCCCAGGGCTGTCCCCCAGCATTTAGCCGCCTAAGGCAAAGAGGCCCTGGCACCCTCTCCACCACCACCACCACCGCCACCTCCCGTCCCAATCCACGCGACCCCACGCCAGCCAAGTGACTTTGGCCCAAGAGGAACAAAGCGTCACGAACTTACCGGCCCAAGTTTCGACGTTCAAAAATGCCTTCTGGGGATCCCCGAGGCCGCCTGGCG